TTAGTGGCACTCAGTCACAGGTCCATCCCATCCCATTGCACGCCATCTCTAGCTTTTCAGTTCTTACCCAATAATAAATTCACATGAACCACACATATCTGGTCCATACTGTACTTCTGAAGTCATTTCCAACAGAAAACACACAGCTCTGCTTCTCCATAATATCTGAATCAGGAGAGATTGTTAAAGCTCTAGACTGATTTCTAAATGCAGTGGTGGATCTGAGGAGGGCCAAGAAACTGTGCTTGAATCCAGAAAAGATGGAGACTCTTGGGGTAGGTTGTTCTCATGTCTGAAAAATGCCCATTCTGGACAGAGTCACACTCTGGCTGCAGGAGCAGGTACATAGTTTTAGAATACTCCTGAACACATCATTGTTCCATGTATCCTTTTTGGGTAGGTGAGCCTTTTACCTGCTTTGTCTGGTTCACCAAATACGAACATTCTTGGACTGAGATAGCCTGACCACTGTAAACCATACACTGGTAACCTTGAGGGTGGATTACTACAGTGAACTCCATGTAGGGTTTCCCTTGGACCTGGCCCAGAATATCCAGATGGGGAAGAATGTGGTGGCTAGACTGCTGATGGGGAGCACATAGCTGCCAACACGGGACACCACTGTTAAAACATCCCCATCTACTACTGAGCCTGGTTCAAGTTCCCTGTATTAATTTACAAATCCCTAAACAGGTCCAGGGTTTTTACTGATTTATAATTTTTGAAAAATGCTTTGATTTTTGAATTATTTTTTTAAAGAAATAGGGTAGACAATGCTGACTTCCAGACTGGTATCTGAGCATAAGGAGAACCAAAGACTCATCTATTCTGGCACCCTATTCTCACAGGGCCCAACCAGATGAAGAAAATAGTAGCCATCAAGAATACAGAAGCTGGCTGTCCCTGAAATCTGAAATATGTACCTAATTTTCTCTTAGAAAATAAAGAATGAAAAGGCTCTTAAATGTTATATAATTAGGTATGTCTGTTACTTCCTAAATATAGTGTTGCCGATCGTTAAGTATTAGTTCCACATCTTACAGTGTGAGACGTATAATGTCAAATGTAACCCTCCTAATCTGAACCTTCAGTGAATTTAGGGAGCTCGCAATTTATTGAGCAGTTTGAAAGAAGAATGCAAATGAGAAAACATGCCATTTTAAAGCGCTGTGTGAAGTGCTGTGTCACAGATGAAAAACACCTCTTGAAAGCAAACATCCATGTTTTTAACCTTGCATGCAGATTTGATAATCAAGCTATTGAAGCTTTCGTTGGCACAGAGGTGAGCGAGGGAAGAGAAGGAGGACTGTGGTATTTTTTAACTGCAGTTATGCAAACAGCTGAAAACATAAATGAGGCTAGCTGAAGTGAAAAGCAAATTTGCAATGCATTTAAAACAGGCTGCAAAAAGGAAGTGGCAGGATTATAGTCACTTCCTTGCATTTACATAGCATGGTCTCTTGAAAACAAGATCCCAAAGGGACATTGAATCTGGCACATATGTACAGAAGGGTCTTTCTGCCGTGCAAATCCAGCCTGTCAAAGCGCTAAGGTACAATAGTATACCAAGCTATGGGTAGAAATGATGGGGGGGGGTCCTAATCCACCATGGGGTGGCAACCTATGGCCATAGGCAGTGCTATTTTTCTAGAAAAAGAGGTGCCAGAACTCAACATAAACGCCTCTCTTGTTCTCTTATAATGGCGCCAAGACTGAGTTCTGGTGAGTTCTGGCTGAAAAGCCCAGGCCCTAGGCCTAATGCTGAAAGCTGCCTGCAAGTGATCAGTTCAGGCTGCTGGCAAGATCATAGCTGTCAAGTGTCCCTTATTTGAAGGGACAGTCCCTTATTCCAGCGCCATGTCCCGCTGCTGTCCCTTATTGATGGATGTCCCTTAAATGTCCCTTAAATTTCAAAGGAAGCAGCTCCTCTCCCTCCCTCCCTGCCGGCCAGGGAGGAGGGAGGCTCCAACTGTGTTGCTTGGCTGTGTTTCTCACCCAATAAGAAGTCTAAGAACGACTGGGGGGTGAAGCTTGCATGCCTTGTGTGTGGCTAGTTAATGCAAGCTGAGGGGGGTTTTGAATGGTGGATGCCATTTTGTTGCACGTGCTGCTGCAAACTTTGCAGTGCAAAGCCAGGCCGGGGAGTCATCTTAAGTTGAGGCTTCATAGGCCTTGTGGTGCATGTGATTCAGATTCTATTCAGTTGAACCTCTGGTTACAAAGTTGGTTGGACAGTGTTCTCGAAGCTACCAGCATGAGTTTGACCAGACTGCAGGAGGACAGGAAGACTGGAGTACCTGGAACAGGTGAGGCTGCAGGTCCCTTATTTTGGCTGCTGATCCCTTATTTTAAAGGCTGCTGGTCCCTTATTTTCAAATCTGTAAGTTGACAGCTATGGGCAAGATCAATCAAGTTTTGGTTCCAGCAGTCTGCTGGGCAGGGAGGAAGGGCGTTTGGTAGGGAGAGGGAGAAAAGAGAACAGTAAAGAGAGAAATACAGCCCTCCTTGGGTTCTGGCCATGCCCACTTTTTTGAGGGGTGGTGGTGGACACAGTGCTAACCAGAACAGCTTCCATTTTGTAAAACTGTATTTTGCAGCTGCTGGTGGCCATGTAAGTTGTTGTTTTCTTAACCCCTAAATTACCCAGAGCAGTATTATTTGGGGTCAGCTTGTGGGGGGAAACCAGCACTTTGCGAATGAGGCCCTCAGAAAAGCATAGGCAGGCAATGCAGTCAGGGCAATGTGACTGGACCATCCGGTCACCATTAACAGCCAGGCTATTCCGCTTTCAGTCAGGGGAACTATAAATGCTATGAGTGGTCTGGAATCTTTGAACAGAAAGGAGTCGGCACCCTAACAGTCCCCCTGGGGGCAGAGGAAAGCCACCACAAATGAGCCACAGTCCCCACTAAGTGGCTCACATGAAGGGTAGCAAGTTATCATTATTATGGTTATTATGACTGTAACTATCAGGGAGGGCAAGCAGATATCTTGGACTGTCTCTAATGATGGCTCAACTTGTTGAAAGGCAGTTTAAGTTTGGTGAGTGGATGAGACAGCAGGGCAAACCGGGCTTTGGTTTTCGGGGAAAGATCTGTCTGGGCAAAAGCTCTTTGTGTGCCCAAAGTGCAGCCTGTGCTGTTATGCAAAGTAACCTTCAAGTAGAACGCAACCTTCAATTACGAGATAGTCAATTGCAATGCATAATGAAGGCACCCCATTAATCTTGTCTTTCCGGGAGGTGAGAAGAAAGAGAAACGAACTATCAATGCCAGTAAAATGGAGCATTAAAAAACTGAGATGGAGAATATTCTTGCTTATGGGCTTTGAATCCCACTACCTCGATGCATCTGTTCATGGAAAGGCAGTGACATTTCTAAGATAAACAACACAAAAATAATGAAGGACTGAAGCAGTTGGAGTGTGTGTGTGTGGTTTTTGATGATATTACTGTTATGTATTCCTATCAATATCAGTACCATGATTCAAGGAAAGAACCTAATTACTTTAAGAGCATAAAAGGACAGGAGAAGATGTGGCTCAAAAATATTGATGGGGAGCTTGGCACTAGGATCATACAACCAACTCTGTGTGATCTGCATTGGTTCCGATTTGTTTCTTGGTTCAGAGTGTGATAGTGTCAACCTCTGAAGCATCATGCAGCCCAGGACAAGGTTACTTCTAGAATGGCCTTCTGTCCAATCTTTAAGGTCATCGCACGAGACCCTGATCATAATTACATGTTGATTTCTGCTATTGAAGGCAAATGAACAGGGATCAATAACAGAAGATAGCAACTCTAATTGTTGTTGTTGTTTAGTCATTCTTCGTGACCCCGTGGACCAGAGCACGCCAGGCACTCCTGTCTTCCACTGCCTCCCGCAGTTTGGTCAAACTCATGCTGGTAGCTTCGAGAACACTGTCCAACCAACTCGTCCTCTGTCGTCCCCTTCTCTTTCCCAACATCAGGGTCTTTTCCAGGGAGTCTTCTCTTCTCATGAGGTGGCCAAAGTATTGGAGCCTCAGCTTCAGGATCTGTCCTTCCACTCAGCACTCAGGGCTGATTTCCTTAAGAATGGATAGGTTTGATCTTCTTGCAGTCCATGGGACTCTCAAGAGTCTCCTCCAGCACCATAATTCAAAAGCATCAATTCTTCGGCGATCAGCCTTCTTTATGGTCCAGCTTTCACTTCCATACATCACTACTGGGAAAACCATAGCTTTTACTATACGGACCTTTGTTGGCAAGTGATGACTCTGCTTTTTAAGATGCTGTCTAGGTATGTCATTGCTTTTCTCCCAAGAAGCAGGCGTCTTTTAATTTCGTGACTGCTGTCACCATCTGCAGTGATCATGGAGTCCAAGAAAGTAAAATCTCTCACTGCCTCCATTTCTTCCCTTTCTATTTGCCAGGAGGTGATGGGACCAGTACAGTCCCACAATCCAACCCGGGGCTCTGATTCAGCACCCCTTCAATTATGCTGACCCATCCTGGGTCCACTTAGGAACCATCTGCCTCCAGACCCAAGTTCTGAATTAGTTCTGGCTAATGTTTAATTTGGAGTTTCTTACATAGCCAGCATATAATTGAAAACCTTGTGTGGAGATAACTAAATGTGTCTTTTCTCATAGCCTGCTGCTTTGCACCATAAAGCTATATAGTTCCCAAAGACATTGAGCCAACATGACTGGCTGTTCAAGGCAACTTTTTTTTCTACATCCCATTTTGCTCCCTGAAGTTTTCCTATAAATTTTACATCTATTCAGATGCTGGCATTTACTATGGCAAACCACGACAAGACAGCATATTAAAGCTCCAATTTGCACTGTTTTAACAAAGACCGTTGGACAAATAAAATGATTCTGTTCAGTTTTTTTTCCCATTCCACAGCACCACAGGTGCAAATTAGTGGCACATCTGGGGGTGACGAAAACCCAAACCATCAGCATTAAAGCATTCAACCAGTGAATTAAGGATAGAGGTTGGCAAAGTTACTTACATTTTGCAGCTGGACTCGGCTTTCGGCCCTGGTCTCTGATTTTGCCATCATGCTAGAAGCATTAAGGCTGTAGGTTTTCCCATTTCGTGTCTCTTTCAGCTGTTCCTGAATAAGTTTTGTTTGCTTTCTGCAAAGAAGAAGAAAAAAACAAAAAGATGTCCAGATAAAGATGGGCAGTGATTATTATTTTTCTAATCTCAATTATTCTAATGTGGTTTCTGCTTCCAACTGTCCTAATATTTTCAATGACCACAGACTAGAACCGAAACCTTTGTGAGGGCAAGTCCAGGCAGGTCAGAACAACTTGTTCTCAGTAATGCAGGGTTTATGCTGAAATGAGGGATGAGTGAATCTGTCTATTTTCCTAGTTTTACTTTCATTTCTCCACATTTTCACATCAGTTTGCATTTTTAAAAAATAAATAAAATAAAATTCATGACAACTTGTAAACTCATTTAAAAAACATTAAAATTCATCGGCATCTTGGTGCAAAGTTCTCCTAATATGCACAGTTTAGCTGTGATAAGTGCACATTCCCCAAGGCTTGTGTATATTGACCAGGAAATATGCAATATCTGGTTGTTCTGCACATTAACAATATCTAGTTGTTAATGCACATTAACCACTGAACTTCCATTTATCTGAACATCTGTTATTACCAACAGTAGAGCTGTATGCATTTGTGGACAGAGAAATTGGGGGACGTACTTCAACAAAATGCTAGATCAGCAAGGGAGAAATTCTCCTACAGTTTCTCAGGGGTGGGGAATCTTTTTGTTTGTTTCTTTGATTCTTTTTCATTGCTGCTGCAAGTGGTTACAGCAGCAATAAGCATATTGGCAGCCTGGCCACCATTCTGCATCCTTCACAGTGCTCTGCAGCCAGGTTTGTTCTGCGGGGAAATGGGGGAAAATCAGAGAAAATTGTGCAAAGTGCCCTTTTTTGGTAGGGGGGGGGGAAATGTTCTCAGAAGAATACATCTCATCTTAGCAATAAATAAGCTTTCCTTTTTGCAATTCACACTAGAAGTATGCCTCTATCTGCAACCATGCCTGAAGCTTGATCTATAATGTGTAACAGAATTAACACAATTTCACTGCAAGTGAAATTCCACTGCGGAGTATGCTTATTTGGAGCATTATTACAAACATCCATTTTAAAAGAATTGGGGAACAAAAGTTCATGGTTCATGGGAATTATATGAATTGCATGTTTTATGTGCTTTTAAAAAATAGTTGTTTTTATTAAAGGATTTTCATAGTTATCAAGTGTACATACGTCCCTGTTTTCCATTCACATAGCCTTTCCTACAGATCAGTTACATCTGATGTGAGACACTACTGTCATAGACACTGTGAGTTTGGTGCGGGGTGGGGGGAAAGAGAGAAAAAGAAGTGGCTTTTCGTTCTTTTATGTGCTTTTTAATTACATCTCTCACTTCTGCAAGCATCAGTACATTGCTGGCTGTCACTGTATATCTATCTACACACACAAACTCAAGCCCGCCACATCTGTGGCTGATTCAAGGGTGTGAACTGCCAGAGTGGTTTGACTTCTATTATGATGTCAGAAGGATCATTGTGAGATGAAACTGTTCTGATGTTCTGGCTGGGAACTGTCAATTTGAAAACCCTTGAGCTAATTTGGCCACACATTCCATGTCCCCACCCGTTTTCGGACCATTCTAGTAATCAGAATATCTGAGGAACATAGGAAGCTGCCATATATTGAGCCAGGTCAGCATTGTCTACAATGACTGCCCACAGTTCTCCAAGCTTTCGGACATGAAACATCCTTAGCCCTGCCTAAAGATGCCAGATGGAACTTGGGAGCCTTCTGCATCCAGAGCACATGCTTTTGAGCAACTTTTTGGTTGTTGTGAGCTGGTTTCAGATGCTTAGCTGGTGAGAGAATACCACAGCAATTTCGAGATTGCTGCGGACGAGTCTTATATACAAGTATTTTGTTCCCCGACCACCACAGTGGGTAGATGGTTCACCTTCAGGTATTTCTCACCACAAAACAGCTTCATCTGATTACTTTTTCCTCAGAGGATGCCCTAGCTGTGAATGAAAACTTAGCTTGGGGAAAGTGTTTTTCAAATGGAAAAATGACCAAAGGGAAAGGGGTTAAACCACTTTTTTACACCCACCCTTCTTTCCCTGAGACTTGCAAGCTTGCGCAGGCCGATTTTTGCCACAACTTGAGCCAAAGTGAGCCAGTTGGTCCCAACCATTTATTTATTTTTGGTCACACTGCCTGCTTGAAATGTGGCTCGTACCAACATTCAAAGGTGAAAATGGGCAGTCCAAGGCCAATGTTGTTAATGTTTTGGGGGGAACAAACAAATAAACAAACAACAACCAGCAAACGATGACATCTGGCAAAATGCTATTGTCAACATGAAGGGATGCTTGTCCAAAATGTGGGGAGATGTATTCACAAGTGTAGGGAACTGCTGGGTCTGTTTGTCCATGTAGCTTAGTTTTGCCTGTGCTGACTAGTTTGCTGCTCTCCAAGGTCTCAGAGGTCTTTCTCATCACCTAGTACACGAGTTTTGTAACTATGCTGAGCATCACCCCTTCTGCATGCAATGTTTGTGCCACTGAGGACCAACACATGTTCCTCCTTCAGCATCCATTATTATACCTCTGCATTTCTGTCTGCAAATAGAAACCCCTTTCTCCAGCTTATGGTAATTACAAAAACCCAACTTCTACATATAGCCCTTGCAATATGTATCTGCCATTGCAGATATTTTTAATTTGACTGAGTGTTCCCACAAAGGTCTACCACTGAGCTCTTGTCCCTTCTTATTATTTCAAAATGTTCATTATACTCATTAGGGGTTGTCAGCATTCATACATTAATGTCAATGTTCACTAAGTTATGGGCATTCCCTATACCAAGAATATGCCCGGATATACTCTGATAGTTCGCCTTCATCTCTCATAATACTAGAACCCTCTAACAAAGCTGAATGTTGAAAGAGTCAGGATGGGCAAAAGAAGGTACTTCTTTGCAGCTCATATAAAAGGGTGGAATTTGCTCCCGCGGGCTGTAGTGATGCCCATGAACTTGGGTGGCTTTAAAATTCAGACAAATTCAGAGATGGCAAGGCTATCAATGGCTACTACGCACAATACCTTGACAGATTAGAGAACTGGGCCAAAACAAACAAGATGAATTTTAACAGGGAGAAATGTAAAGTATTGCACTTGGGCAAAAAAAATGAGAGGCACAAATACAAGATGGGGGACACCTGGCTTGAGAGCAGTACATGTGAAAAGGATCTAGGAGTCTTGGTTGACCACAAACTTAACATGAGCCAACAATGTGACGCGGCAGCTAAAAAAGCCAATGCAATTCTGGGCCTCATCAATAGGAGTATAGCATCTAGATCAAGGGAAGTAATAGTGCCACTGTATTCTGCTCTGGTCAGACCTCACCTGGAGTACTGTGTCCAGTTCTGGGCACCACAGTTCAAGAAGGACAGTGACAAACTCGAACGTGTCCAGAGGAGGGCAACCAAAATGGTCAAAGGCCTGGAAACGATGCCTTATGAGGAACGGCTAAGGGAGCTGGGCATGTTTAGCCTGGAGAAGAGGAGGTTAAGGGGTGATATGATAGCCATGTACAAATATATAAAAGGATGTCACATAGAGGAGGGAGAAAGGCTGTTTTCTGCTGCTCCAGAGAAGCGGACACGGAGCAATGGATCCAAACTACAAGAAAGAAGATTCCACCTAAACATTAGGAAGAACTTCCTGACAGTAAGAGCTGTTCGACAGTGGAATTTGCTGCCAAGGGGGACTTCCGGGTTGACGCGATCTGGAAATGGCGGATTCCCTCCGAGCTCCGGAGGGAACCGGCTCCACTGAGGATGGGTCTTTGCCGCGCCGGCGACGCGGGGACCCTTAAAAACCGCAGGCGCGGAAGCCTGCGGACTGAAGACTCGGCGGGTGCCTTAAGCGCCCCCCCTGATTCGCAAAGAGCCTTTTTAAAGGCTGCGGAGGGGATACGGGGGTGGCGTGGCACTGAGAGTCGATCGCTACCTCGGTGGAGTGAAGCCGCGAGCCAGGACCAGAGAGCGCTGACTTCCTTCCTTGAAAATTTGGACTGAAAGAATTACCCGTGAGTAAGACGGATTGGGACTATATAAAATTTTACCTTGAATTGGAGACGATCGGGGGGTGTGCTAAAAGGAAGTCCGCACCCCCCCTCTTGCAGACGACCTAAGCAACGGCATAAGAGCTAAGCTGGAGAGCCTACCCCTGGTGGGGTGAGTTAAAAAGGACATTAACTTCTAAGATTTAACTAAAGGAAATTTTGGGCTGGAGAGTGGAGTTTTGGGAACTTTCTTTCTGCTTCAAACAACCCCCCCTCCCGGGCCCGGGAACGTCCTGCCTCGGTGCCTGTGTAAGAGCTGCGGAGTTTGACAGCTGTCAAAGCTGCCAAACGGTCGGTTTAAAGTGCAAAAATTGTCATCTCTTGACTAAGACGAGTTACAATTGAGCTAAAATCGTTGGAAACAAAGTAATAATAATCAGTGAAAGGATTGTTGGTGAAAAGGCTAATAAGTAACCAGATTCCCCCTAGGGGGAATTCTGTGAAACTACAATGGATACAATGGCTGTGGAAGGAAAGTTACTGGTGGAAATTGAAAGGATGTTTCAATTGGTGGGAACTTTACAAGAGCAGAGCTTGGCCATGAATAAACAGCTTGAGACTATGACCTTGGGAACAGGCAACTCTGCTCTTTGTATTGAGGACCTCAACGAGAAAGAATTCACAGCTGAATGGGAAACAATACCTACAGAGTTGGAAGAGACTAAACAACAAGAAAAAGAAGAAGTAATCCTGGGAAGTAACAACCAAAAGTTGACATCTGCGGAACATAAGCAAGGAAACGCTGGGAACATATCTACTACAAGTCTGCGAAAGATACAGAAGAAGAAGAAGGAGGTCCCGGGACAAAATGGAACACAGAAATTTAAAATAAAGAAATATGCTTGGGGCCTCCGTTTGGACTTTGATCTTGAAGAGATAGGCTTTGTGGAAATTCTTCAGCAGTTACTTTTGAACCCCCTTGTGGGAAGAGGAAACACTTTGATGGTGAAAGAACTTTTCCCAGACTTGATGACTGACATAAAGGACTACCAACGGGACAGGCGGAGAGGGACTGAAAGGGATTTGAAAGCCTCGGACGTGAGGAACCCAGGCTGAGAAATTCGAATTTGGATTTTTATTGGGAAGGGACAAAAACCGGGGATGGGAGGGAGGGAAGAAGAGACTCTTAAAAACTCTTAAGACTTTTAGGTTTGGTTAATATGACTCTTAATTAAGATAAAATGAAAATCGATGGAAGAGAACTTAAGTCCAACTTAGGAAAATTAATTTTTATTATAAAATAAGGTGATGAATAACATTGTTAAGAGGAGAAATACCAACTTGCTGATATAATCTTGAAACTGGGATGCACGAGGGGAGGTGGGGGGAAGTCAGGGAACAAGTTTATGAAACGGGGATTGGTTGATTTTATACATGTTTTTGTCTTTTTCTTTTCTTTGTGTATGTTTTGTCTTTATAAAACCAGAAAACCAAATAAAAATTTTATTAAAAAAAAAAAAAAGGAATTTGCTGCCAAGGAGTGTGGTGGAGTCTCCTTCTTTGGAGGTCTTTAAGCAGAGGCTTGACAACCATATGTCAGGAGTGCTCTGATGGTGTTTCCTGCTTGGCAGGGGGTTGGACTCGATGGCCCTTGTGGTCTCTTCCAACTCTATGATTCTATGATTCTATTATTCTACAATGGCTGTGTATTACCTCCACAGTTGGGAGGCAGAAAGACTCTAAATGCCAGTTGTTGGGAATCACAAATGGGGAGAGTGCTGTTTTGCTCATGCCCTACTAGTGAACTCCCCATATATCTCTTGCTGGCCACTGTGAGAACAAGATACAGGATCAGATGGGCCTTTGGTCTGATTCAGCAGAGCTCTTCTCGTGTTCTTAAGAGCCACCCATCATCCAAGAACTGCAAAATTCAGCAATACTAAATTTCAAAAACTTCTGAAATTTTCACATTTTAGACTCATGACTCAGTCACTTCACATTCTAGATACATATAGGGAGCTATGGTAGATTCTGATAGGGCAAGACCCTATATTGTTGTGATATATGCACATTGACTCCTGGTTTCCTGGTTTAAGAACCATGAAACTGTTGCTTGCATAATTTGCTGCTGATGAACTATGTGCCATAGCAAGGACAATGAGAGCTACAGAGAAAGCTTTGATTTTATTTGGTCAGTGAAGCCAGTTCAATGGTGGGGGGGGGTGTCCTGTTCTACTCAATAAAAATTAAGAATTAAATAATGCATTTGTGGATTTGAGTATTCCAAGGATGCCAATGCACAGGTTGTACAATGTGTAAGTGTGACATCCGAGAACACAAATTTCCTCCTTCAGAATAATTATCTAAAACACAGAACATAAAATGAAAACATAATGGTTAATCATAAAATAACAGAAAAGTAATCAATGCCTTGTCTAGACAGCATTTTATTGCAATGGGCATAGGTCTAATAGGGACATATATTATAAGTTTCTACTTTTTTTTGGGTGGGCACAAACTGCCAAAGTCAAGTGCACTTAAATTCTACTTATTTCAATGAGGAATAAAATCATGTCCTGAAATTTCTCCCATTGAAATTAATGGAACTTAACCTGGGCTGCATCATTCTCTGACTGCTAAACAGTCCCCAACCATTGTCCATCATTGACCTTTGATGCGGTATGGTTCGCCAGGGAGCTTTTGAGTGGCATACATGTTTCTCTCTCTTCACAGAAACAGAATAAGAACAGGAAGTGACACGAGGGAAGAAGGACTTGTCCTTTTCAAAGGGCCTAACATTTATCACACAAAAGGCACTCAGCCTAAGAGACATTCAAATCACTTTTTGAATCACCTCCTCCATTTTCTAGGCCCAGTTCCCAGGACAGCGGCCTAAATGTGATGTTTCTCAAGGGCAAAAACAGATTTTGGTGGCTACTAGTAATAAATTTCAGTAGTTTATAGACTTGACTGAAGTAGAAGTGACATCAATTGCATGAATGCACTTAACATGCATATTATTTGTTAGGTAAATTACTGCCATAAGGAAGCCTGAAGCATTGTGGGGGGGGGCAGGAGAAGTATAACTCTTCCTTTCCTTGCTAAGTTCCTGGCACAAACTGCTTCTCCGTAGTGGCTATTTGCCTTTGGAGGAAGCCTACACTGCGGGCAATGGAGGTGTCTCTTGAAATGCAAATAGCTAACGTGAAGTGTTCATTTTCGTCAGAACTGTAACGGGGAAAGGAAGTAAGAGTCAAACTACGGCTTCCCCAAAACTGCAGTCCTGAGGCTCCTCTTTACATTCAAAAAATCTGCAAATTAAATGGATTACTGCAATGAATATCACATCTAGGTTGGCTCCAAATGTAATTTTAGTGTGGGCTTGAGCATGCTCAATGGAATTTTTGACTTTTCCTCTTTTAATGGCAGACCCTCATGCTATGTAAGAAGCTGTTGTGAGGGGAATAACAACCCAGCGCCCATGACAAACTACAGTTCCCAGGATTCTCTGAGCGACACCATGAATGTTTGAAGCAGAATAATACTGCTTTAGAGGTATAGCATGGTGCAGACAGGGCCATTCTCCCTTCCTTTCTTTCTAAGCAAGCTTGGACCTTCATTTATTAACTGCCGGCAGCCCAATCTTGTGAGTCATTGAGCAGTTTGAGCCATATAAACTACCAGGCCCTCTGCATCTTCCGATATATAACCGATAAATCTGTCGTGAATCAAAATAGATACGCTCGAGCCAGATGCAGACATTACCATACTATGAATTTATTTATTTTATGGATCACAAAATTGTCGCCAGGATGTTCAACATTGTTTCACCCAAAGCCAGTTTTTTGTGATATATGAAAAGCTGGTAGGAAAACGATGCATTTTCATGCCTTTCCAGAAGATCAAAGAAGATTAACCTCTTCAAACCCTTCCCATTCATCTGTGTTCCTGTATGCAAACTCTGATAAATGACATTATGAGTGTCAGTCATGGAGATGGCGGGGGCGTTTTCACATGCAGGGGTTTTTGTGGGGGGAGGGGGAGCATGTTGACTGACAAGGAAATAATGTTTATCGGGTCTCTGGTATCTTACTCTCTTCAGAAATAATGCCATGGAGGAAAAACAGAAGAACTGAAAAGGCGTAAGGATGACAGGACAGAGGCTAGACAAAGGCTCTTACTTTGTTTTGAAGTAGAACGCTGCACAGATCATGCCCACTATGACTATGCCAAAGACGATACAGGAAATAGACAGCACTTGTCGCTGGTAAACCTCTTCGCTCTCTGTGGACAGCAAAATTGAAAATTATGGCAACATTAAACAGCAACATCTTGAAATAGGGGAACTTATTATTATTATTATTTTAAGGGTGTGTGAATCAGCATGACACGTTCTTCATATGGCGAACAGGAAGTGTGCAGATTTTGGCTTGGAGAAACCATCCCCGACTTAGGATCCCCACCTGCATGCTGTTATGAGAGACGTGGGCCTGCTGCACTGGCCCAAACAGAATTCTCCCCCCAAGGAGACCCTATAAACATGTAATCAGGATTATGGCAGGAAGTGGTGCCATCGCATTTTGCGTTTAGGTACCCCGGAGGGCAGGGAAGCGTATGATCTGGTTATATGGCTCATCAGACAGGAAGTGATCCTACACATTACAGGAAAATAGGGTAGACTGGACATGGAGGGGCTTGTTTGATGTGGCAGTCCTGTATCTCAAGTGACACATCGTCCCATCCTTGGGATGTTATCCTATACCGCCACTTGCTAAGGGATATGCATGCGACTGTGCTGTTAGTTCCTTATATAAGACTTTGGACTTTCGAGAAAAGGAGCCAACTTCTCGTGAGGTTCCCTTCAGGTGACTGCTGTGGACCTTGAAGAAAATGACTATGGAAACCAAGGGCATTTATTTGATGTGGTCGTTATCCAATTCTTCAGAAAGCTATATAAATAGCTTCCATAGGGCAGGAGGGAGGTGGTAGGTGAAAGGTTGGAAGCTGGACTCTATTTTTAATACTCGGTCATGTTCATCACTTACAAGGCTCATTGGGATTCACTTGTTTCATGACCACAACCCCATTCCTTTAAAAATGTACAGGGTGGTTTTGGGGTTATTTTTTTGCTTTGGACTATATAGCACTCCTGCCTAAGCCTCCATGTTGTTCCCCCAGATTCCAAGTGTACAAACAACATAAAACACTGAAAGATTTACAGCGCTGAAAAGAAAGGAACAAAGCCAAACCAAAAAGAAACCCCTGCAGTTTGATAGAGTTGGATGAAAGCCAAAGTCTTTCCATAGTTTCTGATGTGCTCCACTGCACAGGATATTACTTTCATGGGAATTGTGTAGTTTATTTTTGGGGAGCAGGGGGTGGCAGGCAAGGAGGGGAAGCAATAGCCTTGGTAAACATCACTGCTGCATAATTAACTTGAAGAGAAGGATGAAATGGAAATCAAGAATATGAGAAAACATTCTGTCTCATGTGAGGACAAGCAGTCGACAATTAATAGGCAGCTGGAACACCGTATGTGGAAATGAATCAATAATTCTTTAAGTGATTTATTTTAATTTCAAAAGGCTTTCTTAATATACCAACTGCGTATCAAATTGGCTGGATTATATTGCTACCTGTTAACATATGACAGGAATTAAATACAAGGCTTGAAGGGGAAATGTATAGATTCAAAAGTATGGATGGATGTTACGGGCAAATATTGGAGTGGGGGAGGAACACTTGCTCTGGTCAAGAAATCCAGGCATGCATCTGACTGTGGCCCCATTAATTCCAAATGGGGATCAGCTGGATCAGCTGCTCTCACTGAAATGAATGGGGAATCTTTAGGTGACAATGAGGGTCAGCGGGACAACTCAAACTCTCACGCCCAGGAATCAGTGCTGCACCAGAGTAATTGTTTTTGTTGTTTTACAACAGAGTGAAAACCATCCTCCCCTCACAACAATTTGTGTTGATTAAAAAAATAAAATAAAAACCCATTCTTTTCAAAAGGAAAGATTTAAGCATGCATTTAAGTCTCCCATTTAAATCCATAGGACTGAAAACCATTTCATAAACTGCGAGGCGATCTGCATACAAATTGGATTTGCAACTGAGCGTACACTGGGCAGGGAGCTGCAGACAACCCTTGTTGTTTGGAGCATATACCTATACTGTATGATACATGCATATCCAAACACATGGTTGTCTCATTCACAAATTACATTTTTAGGTGCACAATGTGTGCCCTTAGAATTGTTTTACTTTGAGTGAATAGTGCATAATATGTTTTTTTCAGCTGAATTATATACTTCAAAAAGTTTTAATTCTTTTAAAGTGTTACCAACAACAAAATTACAAAATAAACCTGTTTGAACACAGAAAAAAGCATCCTTCAAAAACAGCGGTGGATATTTATTTTTCACCCACTCAGGTTCAGAACCACAATCAATAATTGTAGTATATACCCAGACCATACTAGAATCACCCACTGAGTTCAGCAGTAGTTACTTATTCTCTCTCTCTCTCTCTCTCTCTCTCTCTCTCTCTCTCTCTCTCCCTCTCTCTCTCTCTCTCTCTCTATGTGTGTGTGTGTGTTTTCCCTGATTGCAACTGCAAAATAAGCAAAAGCTTTTTAAAGAAAAGAATAAATGCACATGGGGTCTGCTTGGCTGTAGGTAAATGATGCAACCACATGGTGGAAAGGATTAGGATACTGATTGTATGGAAAAGGCTTGAGCAATCTGCCATGACCATGTGGCTGGGTCACTCACAAGCAACCCTCAACCACATCAGGGCTGCAGCTAGAAGGTGGAGGGAGGGAAGTGGGAAGGGCTAACTTCTTCCAGGGGTAAGGGCAGCTGGAAAGCAGTATTCAAGTGGGGGAATGGGAGCTTGGTAAGGGAGGAAGAGGGGTGGGTGACAGGGAGCATTCACTAGAGAGGGGTGTCTGGGAGGCGAGGAGTGGAGGAATTCAGGAGGTAGACAAGACTGGAGGCAAGTAGTGTCCTTGATAGCTGGGAAAGGGGAGGAAGGAAGTGGAAAGGCGGTGCTGGCAAAGGTGGCAGAGGGGAAGGAGAAAATGGGCTGCAGAGAGTGGTCCGGATCGGGTAGGGCATGGGCGTGTGTTGCAGGAGGAGGAGGAAGAGTTTGGATTTGATATCCCGCTTTATCACTACCCTAAGGAGTCTCAAAGTGGCTAACATTCTCCTTTCCTTTCCTCCCCCACAACAAACACTCTGTGAGGTGAGTGGGGTTGAGAGACTTCAAAGAAGTGTGACTAGCCCAAGGTCACCCAGCAGCTGCATGTGGAGGAGCGGAGAAGCGAACCCGGTTCACCAGATTGCAAGACTACCGCTCTTAACCACTACACCACACACAAATCTGCCCTCTCAAGGGGGAAATTTGATGGGGGGGTGGGCTCGCGTGAGAGTGCAGGGCCAATGAACGCACATCCCGGTTTTCACCACCAGGAAGTTGGAGGGTATGAAATTGAATCCCTCACATGTCCTTAGCCCAGGGTGGATCTAGACACAGGAAAAACAACAATGCTATAAATAAGTCAGAAGTGAGATAACAAAGAGAAAAATCTCTACGGAAAATCGCGTCTTGAAATTTCCTGCTCTCTGCCGCCATCTGGTGTTGCATGTTTATAGCACATTCAAACCGCTGTTTCTTTACTAGTGTAGCCGAGTCCTCAGTCTAGCTTTCAACTGCCTCTTATAGTCAGGGGTATTCTTTTGCTGGTGACAGCCTCCCTTCTCTCTTAGTGGTGGATTTCTCCCCCATCCATTCATATCCCTCTACTTCCCCTGCTTTTGTGCCCTTTACTTAGCATCTGCTTCATCACTAGGTCTTTCCGCCTTCCCTGCTCTTCTCCAGCATTAGAACTACTGAACCAACTGCTTGAAGATGGTTCCCTATCTGCACAAAACCCCTAAGTACAGACTCCAAGGTATATTGCAGTACAGATGCCAAAATGCTCATAAATTACACTGAAACTTGAAAAACCAGTGGGTTGTTTGTTTTTTACTTGCTTGTGTTTGGTTTGGTTCTCACACATAAAACACATTGGAGGGCTAGAAAGTGGTATAAAATTGTTATTTTAAAAATATAAATAAATAAACTGGAACCTCCTCTCTTGGTCTGAACCTTCATTATTGGGGATATCTTTCATACCTACACATTAATGTAACCCAAAATAAAGAGGGGTCTGTCAGCTATCACCTTGCAGCAGATATTATATCAGGCTGTAACAGAGGAGGAAAGAGAAGGGAGCATTTGTGGTGAGTGCCTCCTCTCCTTGAACTTTCCCGTATCAGCTAGTTATCAGAACATCTTCTGATTAAGAACATGAACCTGAGTTCATCCGTTTCCTTCTCCCTCCCTCCCAATCCATTTTCCTTTCACATCTTGTCTTTTTAAAAAGTAAGCCTGAAGGCAGGGTCTGTCTTTGTGTGCGTGTGTGAAGAGATTTTTTAAGCTGCCCAGGAAGCCTATTTTTGACCGAAAGGGGCAATTAAGAATAAGTAAACAAATATGATTCAATTTCTTTGAAATGATTATCATTCCTAGGTCTTCAATGTTCCACAGAGCTTTCAAAAATGAGCATTCAAAAATTAATTTTCCTCTTATACTGTGTGTTCTACTCTGAAAATAAATGGGTGGAAGAGATTTTCTATACACCTCAAACTGAATCTTTCTATTGTACATTGGCTTCCTCAAGACTCAGGCACTGTTTGCACAGCAGGATCAATATTTCTTTGCTCTTATATATTTTGTTCTCTTTCCCTCCTTTGCGAGACACCTCCCTTTTCTTCCACTCACATCTTCCCCCCCCCAACCTGAATCCAAATTCCTCATTAAAGATCCCTAATCCTTTCACCGATCTCTTCAATTGCTGATATTTAAATTGACATTTAAATTGCCAGTGACCCAGAGAAGCAAACTCTTCTTTCCGTACACCTCCTCATTCCAATGAGCCGAGTGCATCTAATAAACCAGCCGAGAGAATGAACATGTTTTGAAATCTTACCTAACTATAGGTGAGATCCAGCAAAATATACAATGAAAAAGTGCGGAGGTGTGATTAGGAGACCTTTGGCAAAGCATCTGGTCCTTAGGAATTACATCTTGAAGAGTTAAACTGTCAAACCCAAACTTTTAAGAAATTGATGCAAGCACAGAGTCTTATCAGGGAATGAGCAGAAAAGGCTACATTTTGTATAATCCAAATAAATATTCTGCAGGGACTGAACATGCTAACTGCAAATTATGCTGTG